ACCCCACCCACCAGACAGAAAACCCGGAATCAGAACTCTCAGGAGACTCCCACCCTGAACCAAATATATCCACGCCTGCCTCCGGCAAGACAGTGGGAGCAGAGCACCTGTCCCCTGGCCACCTGGGCAGCACAGCTAATCTCTCCCAGCCTCATTTTCTTCCTTGCAAAACGGAAGCACCGATGCAAACCCTGCCTACCCCCAGTAGAAAGTTCTCTGTTAAGATCCAATGACATAACTGTCATAAAAAGGCTTTTGAAACTGGAAAAGAGCTCTCCATATGCAAGAGACTGTTATTATTATATTAATTCAAGGGCATTCCCTGAGGCCTGCTGCCTGCCAGGCATTTGTGTGAAGCCCTGAGGACATGGAGACCAGCCAGAGAGGCCCAGTGCTGCCCCAGAAGCCGACACAGTCAGATGGAGGAGGGCAGATCAGCAGTGACACACAGTGGGATGACTGCTTGGACGGAAGGAAGCATCAGGGCTGCAGGAGCCTAAGTGAGGCAGTTAATTCAGGTGGAGGAGACTCGGGGAAGGCTTCCTGGAGGAGGTGACATGTCCGCTGAAACCTGGAGGAAGGGCAGGATTTGGCTGGATGGGGAGGGGTGAAAGGCTGAGAGAATAGCATATGCAAAAGCAGAGAGGCTTACAAAGAAGAACATCCTGGAAGGAAAGCATGGCCAGGGCCTAGCAGGTTTACAGAGAATTGGAAAGAGAGGAGGCCTGCAGTGTAGACCACACCCCCATCAGCTCTGTAATTGCCACTGATCCAGTAATTGCCACCTCCTGGGAAGGTGACTTCATCAGCACACCTGTAGATGATGGAGCAGCATCCCCCACTTTACAGCCTGAAGGCACACAGCATTGTGGGAAGGAACCCACAGTGATGTTTGGGTGGGCCATGCTCCATAGAGCAGTACAATCTTTAGAGGCCTCCCCCCAAGCCTCTGCCCACCTTGGCCCCCCTTCCTCAAATTTGGCTCCATTGCACCCCAGTAGGGCTACCCCAAAGCTCACATTTGATGGATCTCCCAAAAGCTCAGGGGAAAGAACCTACTAGGCACTGGGTATTGTATCATTGTTATCACCTTTAAATCCTCCCAACGATCTCCTGAGGCCTGGGCTCATGGTCCCATTTCACAGATGAGGGCCAGGAAAGCGGAGTAATTATTGGGCCCCAGGTCACTGGTGGAATGCGTGTTTAGGGTTCAGGTTCATGTAGGCATCAGAGAGGCCGAGCTTGAAGCCTCTGGACTGGTGATCTTGGACAATTAGCACTTCTTTCACCCTCCATTTCACACGCATCTGTGGGTGCAATGGTGCTGCTCCCTCGGCTGCGGGGAGGCCTGGCTGAGACATGAGACATGAGATGGAGCATAGAGACTACACAGCAGCTCAGTGGTCATCAAACACGAGCCTGGCTCTCCCCACACGCCCTGCCAGTACCCACTTGCCCGAGACCAGGGCTGAGGTTGGATTGAATGTGAACTCTCACTGCACTCACAGTCCCAGGCACGGGCTTGTGCTGCCCGAGCGCTGGGTTTGGTCAGAGTCCAAGATGACCGTCCTCTCCAGCTCAGCAGGGACTCCAGGGAGACCCACAGCCCCGTTGCCCTCTGGGCATCTCAGAAATGCCCCCCATGAGGTCCCTTTCTGCTAGTGATGGGCTCAGAGCCAGGCCCCAGTGGCCCAGAGAGACCACCGGGGCTTCCGGAGGCCCCGGCCGAAAAGCAAGGGAGTGAAAGTCCTGCTGTGTCTCCAAGAGAGATCCCCAACTTTCCTGTGCCCCCGTTTCTTCACCGTGGTAGGAGCTTCAGGGGCCCATGAAGTCCACAGTGGGCGGGGGTGATCTATTTCCTCCTCAACAAATAGAGGGTGGGGCAGAAGCAGGTTTACAGTTGTTCACCTGGAAAATAACACAATAAATAATAATACAAGAATAAACTCTGTTTTGTGTACTCACAATTGTAAACCTACTTTTGCCCCACCCTGTATTTAGACACTGTGCTAGATGCTGGAGAGAGAACGGAAAACAAGACATGCCCTGCGGAAGCTTCCATCCTCTGGTGCCTCTGTTTCCCCATTTGTTAAATGGCGATTATCATAGTCCCACCTCAGGAGGTTGTAAGAATTAAATTAATGAAAATATGTAAAGCGCTTAGTACGGGGGCTGGCACTTAAGAAGTGGCCCCACAGCCCTAGCCGGTTTGGCTCAGTGGCTAGAGCATCAGCCTGCGAACTGAAGGGTCCCAGGTTCGATTCTGGTCAAGGGCACATGCCTGGCTTGTGGGCTCAATCCCCAGTGGGGGACTTGCAGGAGGCAGCTAATCCATGATTCTCTCTCATCATGGATGTTTCTATCTCTCCCTCTCCCTTCCTCTCTGAAATCAATAAATATATATATTTTTTAAAAAGAAGAAGAAGAAGTGGCCCCACAAACCCATTGTTCTGAGTGGGCGCATTGCCCTTCTCCGGGTTGTAAGGATTAGGTGAGGTCACACAGATAAAGCACCAGGGTGTGCCCGGCCCGCAGCAAGCATGGAAAGGATGACAGCTGTCTCCTCGAAGGTTAGTCAACATAACCACCCCGTTTTAGGGAGCAGGGAATTGAGGCTGAGAAGTTAAGTGACCTCCCCCGGTCTCACCCTGGCTACTGGGAAAGGCTCTTGAGGCCTCTCTTAACCGGATTTCTCAGCCTCTGCACACGTGGACCTGGACCATTCTGAGTTGTGGGGCCAGCAGCATCCCTGACCTCTACCCACTAGATGTCCACAACTCCATCCCTTCCCCACATTGTGACAGCCAGAAATGTCCCCAGACATTGCCAAATGTCCCCTGGAGGGCAAAGTTGCCTCCTGTTGAAAGCACTGCTCTACACGGCCCCTGGAGCTTCTATTTTGAGAACTTACAGGATCTGACCTGCAGCCGCCCCCCCACCCC